TTCCGAGCCTCGCGACCGTTCCGGCCGATCTTCGCGAACGGTGAACGCGTCGACGGTGGAGCAAAGAGGGAGGGCGGGAGGAGGAGCGTGTCTGTAAAATAATTTATTTCTATTGGCGGAAGTATTCCCGTTCGTCTCGCTCCGGGGACGCAGCCGGAAGCGGATGGATCTCGACGGATCGTCGGGAAATCGGTGGACGTGGGTGGAGGGAGACGCTGTTAGGGGGAACGAAAACGGTTTAAATGTGTTTCGAGGAGCGACGGTGAACTGAGGTTGCCTTATAACTATCGAGCCTATATTATATATATATATATAGAAGTATATGTATATATATATCGGAGTATATACATATATAACGTATATGTATATGGAGATATTGTAAGATCGTCCACGACGATCGAGATAAATATTTGAAGATGTATGGACGCGCGAATGGGGAAGTTTGTGGGAGTGTACGAACGTGTGTGTGTGCGCGTGCGCGTGTGTGTGTGTGGTTTTGCGTAAGGGAAGAGAGTGAGAGAGAAAGGGGAGAGATGTATACCAGTAGAAGACGTACTATTATTTGAAGAAGTTTAGAGAGAATCTATCGTACGGTCATTAGTATTAAAATATCTGCTGTATGGATGTAAGAGAAAAGAAAAAAACTATTATATAATTTTATCTATTATTATTATTATTAATTATTATTATTAATTATTGATTAATATGCTCTATTATTATATTATTATTATTATTATTATTATTATTATTATTATTATTATTATTATGAATGAGTATCCGGAACCACACATCTTATGTAGCTGTGATTTTGCTTTCGAACAAGTAAAGATTAAAAATATTTATAGCAACCGAACGTGTTCTATTCTGTTTTCTTTATTTTCTCGTTTCGCCTATACTTTCTCTCGTAACTCGCTTCGATCCTTGTGTTCAGTGTTCGTTTCTTCTTTTCTTTTTATTTTTTCTTTTTTTCTTCTTTTTTGTAACGATGTTCAGACGATTCCTGCGAGGATTCGTCTCCATTGGAAACGTTTTTGGAGCAATACGCTGTGAAAAATAAAAACTTTATTACATTAATCGTCTTTTGATACACACGAAACGAGCGGTTGAAATCAATCTGAAATCGATTCTGCGACTCGAGGCAGGTGTAACTCTGATATCGTTTGGGTGGACGCCGATATCGTTTCTTTTTTTATCGTTGCCCGTTAATAGAACCTTTCTCTTCCGATGGTATCGGCGTTTCATAGACGTCGCAATTAGCAGATCGAATAAATCAATTTAATCGGCACGCCGATCGAACCTCACGGAAACCAAAGCGCACCGCCAGGTCGCAGTCCGTCGTTTGGATCGCGGCGCTAAAAACAACCGGAAAATCCGAGGACGAACTTCGCTGAGCGATAAACGCGAGTTTTATCGTTTTTACCCCCCATTTTTGTAGACAGTGTCTACGTCTGATTACAAGGAACTACGACATTTCGCCGGGACCGTAAATAAACTGTGATCCGTCACCGGAGAAAAGGAATGCGTCCCGCGAACTTTGTTCCTTTCCACGTGCGCCGACGGAGGAACCACTTTGCAAGCAGAACAGCTGCGGGACGATCTTATTATTGAACGTCGTCACGTACTTACGTACTTGTGGCCACATTTTTATATTTAGCCTCCGATTACCAACGGTAGCCGGCCCGTTCGCCATCGTCCGAACGATAAAAAAAGAAAAGAACGCAAATTGCGGACGAAAACCGCGCGAGCGGTTCGTTTTATCGGCGCGTCGATAACGGTTGGGCGGTTCGCAGCGCGTTTAATTGACGGAAATGCAGGGAACTCGACGTCGAAGGAAAAATTTCCCGACGTAGTCGATGAACGGGAATGAAGTGAGTCGTTTGATGAGAGAGGAATTTTTGTTTGATCCGTGTTATTCCATGGTAACATGTGCTTGTACATAATTACGACAGATAATGCAATGAATAAATCGATAACGCGCGACGTCCAATTTTTCTGTCAGATCGTCTAGTGGACGATATATTATTATATGTGATGAATCGACTGGATCAAAAGCTGGGGTTTTATCGCGCCCGTGAAATTTGAAGCTGTGCAATTAGTGTCGCCATTAATTATTGGGGAAAAAAGATAACGCGCTATTGTCTTCGGACACGAACCCATTGCTCTCTGCGTCGTTTTATTATTGCCGTATCACGCAAAAACATTAATTGTTACTCGAACGGCAATTGAAACGATTAAAAGGGGTCTTGAGCTTGGAAAGTTCGGACACATCACGATTGTGATACAGCTTTTTTTTCTATGGCGTTACGCCAACCTGTGCGTTGTCGTCGGCCCGCGCGAAACGCGACGTTTCAGTTGCATTATTCGATCCGTTGCTCGGTAACAAATGAAATTTCCTTGGAGATTTTTTTTTAGTGTTACTTAGGGGTATCGGAAAGTTTCACGGTGACTTTGTTTATAGTCGTTGGTTTATCGAATGGTTTATCACTCGGTTTATCGCGCAAAATGGCGCACGTGATTAACGTAAATGCACGACGTTTCCTCCTAGAATCATTGATAATTCAACTCTGGAACGCTTAATGATGTAAGACTTTTTCAATTAAAAAACTTATCTCTTGTTCGATGATTAATAAACACGTATAGAAAAGGAACACACACGAACGCAACAACTTCTAACTAAAAGTTGCCAAGATACACAGTAACCGTGAAATATTTCGCGGAGTGACTTGCGTGTTATTCTTTCCTTTGTTTAAACAATGCCTCACAGATGCAATAAAACATTTATGATTCCGCATATTTACGTAACTACGTCATGCAACGTATTGCTACGGAACGAGCACTATAATATCACCTTGCAATGTACTTAAGGAAGAAAAAAGCTTATAAATCCTAACATTTCGAATGCTCGGAACATAAAAACAGTGACATCATATCGAAGCATACAATTTCAAGTGACCCTAGATCAAAGTTCCAAATTTAATTATACCTTATTCAACTGATAAAAAAACTTTTCGTAGAAACACATGTAACTTCCACAATCGAATAATTACTCATGAAACGAAGAAATCATAGTTAGGTACTAAGAGAAAGTAAAGATTGGTCGCAGGCTCGTGGAACCTTGAAGAACCTTATTCGAGATAGACTTATTCTTGAATTCGGACGTCGCAGATTCCGGTTTCGATCACCTTGGCCCTCATTTTTCTGTTTCGTTGCATTCGGTTTAAGGAAGTTCGGCTCGCTTGCCTCGGCGACGATATTTTACGATCGAGAGTAACGGCCTGGAGCCTTGGAAACGCGGCATAAACAGAATACCTGACTGTGCACGTGCTTCCATGGATCTCCGGCTGATCGTAGCACGTGATCGACGCACTGCTGGGCTTCTCATTGGCTGGATGGAGGGGTTAGATCACGTGCCGCGGCTGTGATCCAGACCGAAAACAGCTGAACACCCTCGCCGCAGTACAAACTTTCCGTTGACTGCGCGTGGTAAATCGTCCAGGCCCGGCCTTCGCCCACGATCCTCTTCTCGTCGACGTACCCGCTCTTATCTGAGCCCAGCGCGACGATATTACGGATTCTAGGGAAGCCACGAGGTCTGTTTATGTCCCGAGACCGGCACGAGACTGCTGCTATCAAGACGGCGGCTGATAACGAACGGGAACGCGTGCTCCGAATGGTGAAATTCTGCGGATCTAGAGCCGTAGATCTTTGGTGAAGATTGCGCCTGATTCGGGTAATTGAGAGATGTTTCTCATTTACTTTTATTTATATTATTATCGTCATTTCGTTGAGCGTCGCGGGTTCCTCTGGAGCTTGCCAATTGCATGTATTACTCGTATCTATGTAAATAAAAAGGAAACTTGATGGTAAATTACACATAAGAGTTGCTGAAGGGTTCATCTGTATCGTCCAATTGCAAATGTTCATAAATCATATGCAGGGATTGATTTATTTGCAAATATTCCGACGATTTAGCGAGCTGCTTAACTGGAAATGAGAGCTATTTTACCATTTTTTCCATTAATTTCAAAGTGAATTTGTTTAAAAGTCTCTAGGAATGTCGCTGAAGGTCTATTTTACATCAATCAATTGCAAAAGTTCACAGATTGTTCATAAAAAATTAGTAATTCTGAATTGATCTATTGCTTAATAGTTGGCGGGACTCGGCTGCGTGGTTTTTTAGGGCATTTCGGAGCGGTCTATATATGTCCTTCTCGCACTCACGCGAAATCATATGTCCGTACTTGTCTAATACCTCTAGACATGTCATGTGTCCCGCGTATAAAATCGGCTGCGAAGTTACCAAGAGCCGTATGAAAGCATACTTTTAATGTAGGTGGCACGACTTGGATATCGTTATCCTTGTCTTACACATTGCAGGTATTAGAGAAACAGCCAAGGTCGTAAAAATTGTTAATAACTAATTAATTACGAAAAAACTGTGCTCGGAACTGTTACAGGAACATACATGAAGGTTCAGACTGGCCTCCTGACGCGCAAAACCACATCAATTAATTCTTTAAATTTGGGAAAATATTAATTAAAAAAATAATTTTTAGCTACGTGTCGTCACTTGTCTAGAAAGTAACCCAAGAATCACTGATAATTCATCAATTACTCATTGAATCGAAGAAAATTTGATAGCAGAGTATTGCTACAGGCTTGTTCTAGTTTCTTTAATCGTAAAACTTCATAAATTGTGGCTATGAAGTGGGGAAACAATAATTCACAAGAGTCGCGTCTAATCGTCATAGGTTATGATAAAACAACGTTTCCGAAAATGATTGGTAACTGCTTAATTCTGAATAAAATTCTGTCTAAGATATATAGTGAGAGTAGCTGAAGGTCTATTCTATCTTGCACAATTGCAAATATTAATGAATCATTAACCAGAATCGAGTAATTAACGAATTTTCGATCGATCAGGTTCAATTTTGGAGCGTCCTCTCTGCGTCCTTGTCTTTCTCCCGCCAAATCATATATCTGTCCTTGTCGGAGACATTGCGCATGCGCAGAAGTATCAGGGGTTCAAACTATGTCCTATTTTTGTCTTAGACATTAAAAAGTCGTTAATAACTAATCAATTATGATCAAACCATCATCAAAACCGGCACGTAAGGTTGCCCAAAGGTCCAAGCTAACTTCCTACCGCGTGAAACAGTGGAAATAAGCTTCAGAAGTTACCAAAAACATTAATTCCCAAAATGCATTTTAATTATGTAACGTCACGAGTCAGAAGCTGCTCCAAAAATCGTCAATAACTTACGAACCACTCATCAAATTTGCGCAAAATTGATACTGGAATGTTGCTAGAGGTCCATTCTACCTTCTTCAATCAAAAAAGTACACATCTTGTGCCTGTAAACTAAGAGAATTAACAATGAACATAAACGTCGTCGAATCATCATAGGTTACGGTAAAACAACGTTGCCAAAAATAATTAACAACTTCTGAATTCCGAACAAAATCTGATCGACGATGCATCATAAGAATAGTCGAGGCTTCAGTCTATCTTATCCAATCGCAAATGTTAATGAATAATTACGGAGAATCGAGTTATTAACGAATGTTCCACGTATAGCTTGGATTTTTGGAGCGCCCTCTATGCATCCTTGTCCTTCTTCCGCCAAATTATATGTCCGTCCTTGTCTGATACCACCTTAGTCCTGATGCTTCGCGAGTAGGTACCAGGGACTGATGAGATGCTCTTTCTAAGTAGGTGGCATGGGGAACGCTGTCTCTATCCTTGTTGCACACTAGCTCTGTCCTTGTCTTGCACATTACGGGTATAGGGAAAAGCTTCGAAAATTCCTCGCCGCTAGATGGCGGTACTGTCGCTCGCAACCAAAATTCTTTATCCTTGTCGCACAGTCGCTCCGTCGTTGTCTTACTCATTACTCCGCTATAACAGCGTAATGTTCCATTATTTTAATAATACTCTTTATTAATTTAATAATATTATATATACATTAATAATTTATTATAAATTATATGTATTAATAATTTAATAATATTGTTTATTAAAACATGTGTGAATGAATAAAGATATGTAAGATAAATTAGGTGAAAATAAGGGTTCTTCGAGGAACGTTAACTGATGATGAAATGATAATATAATAATTTTTAAACACCCCAAACTCTGCGTAACATTAGAGAAATGTTTGTAGAGAACTTTTTAAACCTTTTGATAAACATAAATCCCTAATTATTGCAGTACCGGCGCGCAACGTGTTAAACAGTTCTTAAACAATTGAAGATCGCAAATTTAATTACATTACCAAGACGCAATCGTAGCCGAAACTCAACACTAGAACTACCAAGCACTGATCTCCTGCTGTTTTAGTAATTAAATCATTTGTTTGCAACTTAGTGTTGCTAATATGAATATTTGATGCCAAAATGTTCGTAAGCAAAGGGTTAAACTGACATTTCCAAATTTTTTTACAAAACTCGTAACTGTGCATTTATTAAGATTTCAATTAGCTTATATTTCATTGCAGATATCACTGAATCAGCTTCTTTAACGATTTATTAAAGAAGCATTTATACCTCTCCACTGATTATAGAAGAAGGTATCGAAAATGGGTCATTCTAACTCGTCTGGTAGTTAGTTACCTAATTAATTAGGTTGATAGTTACTCATTTTTTAACAAAACCACACATTCCACCAAAAACCACATTCCTCGTCTCGCACCGAATAAATAGATAGAAACAATAAGCCCACAGATCTGATCTACGTATATCAACGAGACCCGAGCGCGCCGCGCTCCATGTTTCCATAAACGTTCTTCCATCGTGTTGTTACGAATCAGTTACATACCGGGAACCCGATTCTCATTATCTGTGTAAGCCGTTTCCATCGATTTGATAACAGGAACGTCTGGTTTCGAAACAAGCGCACACGACCGCGAGAGATCGTGTGGAGCAAACCGAGCAATAAATAATCGGAAAAAATCTGCTCTGCGGACGGCGACGCGTGTGTCGCCAGCGTTCGTCGACCTGTTTGCGAATGTGTGAACCAAAGGAGAACCAGGGAAAATTTCTGTACGCGGGAATAGATGTTTCTGCGGCTTTGAAACGCGAGAGGGAAGTTGAAAGAAACGTCCGAGGCGAGATTTATCGTTAAAACAATGAGAAAAATTAAATGTATGAATGAAACCCTCGTATATATATAAACTTGTATACCATGATTCACAAGGCAGGACATTTGATTTCTTCCTTTAATCGTTTTGCCCTATTCAACTTGATCCGCAGCTATTTATCAGTCGACAAATTGAAATTACCTGGAAAGGATGAGTCGATTAAAAACGTCTATCACGTATAAATATAATTATTTCTGAGTATACACTTACCTGTATGTAAAATGAGTCACGAGATTGCTCGAGGTTCTTCTAATTATTTGTTTGAACCTATATTTACACGGTATCGTTCCTTGGTATAGAGGTCGGAAGGCTTTCCTTTTTTATTACGAGTAATTAACGTATGAACATTCACGGGATAAATGACAAGAAAACAGAATGAATTATCTGGTGTGATGTATCGGATCAAATCGAAGAATTTAAATGCAATGATCAGGAGTTTTCTTATTTTCATTTGAAGTCTGTTGACACGAGAACTACCGGACGCGACAAGATGGCCGACGCCGAGATACTTATTTCGGCGTTATTGAGATTATAAGGTACTTTCGTGGGAGATTTTAAATTAAATTGCATTTGTGCAAGGGCAGTAATTAGTTCTTAGAATCCTAAGGAATCTGTTTCCTTAATTTTTATAACAAAATTATGAATAGCTCAGTCTTATTGTTTAGTAGTTCTAGTGTTAATGCGACAACGTGTCGAGGTTTAGTGGTTGGTTGGATGACAGGAAAATAGCAACAACGCAATTAATTAAACACGCGATAACATTCTTTTCCGCAGGCAACATCGGTTTGAGTATCAGCGGCTCAACACGTGCCAAAATAATGACGCAAGAACCGTTCTATTTAAGATGACAAAACACAGCGCACGCTTTCGTTTTCGACGACTTAAAAAAAACTACTGTAATGCCCTTGTTAATATAAAACGCTCTAAATAAAGACTGTTTAGAAACATTCCTATGCTCCTTTGTCTCTTGTGTTTTCTAATCAGACATTTTCTGAAATTGACTTGATGAGAAATCGCTCGTACAATGAGGAACAAAACTATTTTTTTCAATTTTCACATATTTACATGTTTAATATTAATAATATTTTACATATTTAATACTAAACTTTACAATTGCGCTGTGTCAAGTGGATTGGCGAGTGCAACGGGTTAAATTCTTTCCATTTTGTGTATTTCGATGAAATCGTATGGCATTCGTGTTAAGAATGATAATATGATACTCTGAAATTTAAACGTGTCAGCTTTCGTATGAATTTCGTGGTCGGTTTACAGGTTTCAATTGGATCATCAATATTCCAATAGGATACAACACTTTATCGCGCGAACTTCAATTTCAATTTACATTCAATCATTTGCATGTAATTTACACTTCATACTCGATCTTCGCAGTTGTAACTTCAATTTCATTCGATTACAATATTTACAGTTTCGATTTGAATTCAATTCATTAGAGTCTTCGCTAAGGATTGAAGTGCCATGAGACTGTGCCTACAAATTTCCTGCAGCAACAATCGGAATTATGCATGCAGTTCGCCAAATGCAGACAATAGCCTTGTGCGTACGAGATTGCGAGCATTAACGCAACTACCAACTCGCTTATCAATTATTCTATCGACTGGCACGTCAATTGAAACGGTCGTACCTTCGAGAAGAAGCGTTCAAGCAGATTCCACTACTGCTTCGCAACACTTTTGCATCTCTGTACTATGTTTCTATTCGATATCGATATAAAAATATTCTATCTTTGTATACAATAACAATTCAGCTCGATAATCTAGCAGTTGAAGAAGTATTTATTTAAAAGAAGTGCATTTATCACCGAACAGTGGAAGAATGGCGATAGATGGAAGAAACTGACCAGGATATATCTTCGCATTTCTCCACTGCTTCCATTCTATATCGATAGAAAAATATTCTATCTTCGTACACAATAACAATTCAACTCGATAATCTAGCAGTTGAAGAAGTATTTATTTTAAAATAGATTTATCATTGAACAGTGGAAAAATGACGATAGATAGTCGGAAGAAATTGACCAGAATATATCGTAGTTCGATCGAGTGGGGAGGAAACACAAATAAACGTATTAATCAGGCTTATCAGCGAACACGGAAAAATCGCAATCGCTCCGTCTACAAATTCCATCGCAGCTCGACGTTCGTGGAAGTAAAATTCTGCTGCTCGTCGCGAAACAGTTTTGCAGTGAAAACAATTTTAACGTAGCGGTGAAAGTAGATATTTAATTAATTTATATATGAATACATTAGCTTATTGAAAATAAGAATTTAAATCTTAAACAACAAATACCTACACAAAACCAAGATCCATCATTCTAAATCCTCAAAAAACATTCTACGACAAGACACCAAAATGCTGCCATAGTGAACAGAATTGTTGGTTTCCATAATAGAATATTGAATCAGCTTTTACTCAACTAAGACAATAAGTAAACAAGTCAATTCGTAATGAATAACTATATTAACTTGTTTCATAAGCATCGTTATAGAGATCCAGATTCCCTTTTCCTTTTTTAATAAACTATAATTAATATTCTTTCAATTATAGTAAATATCATTTCTTTCCAATCAACTACAATTAATATTTCTTCAATTAAAGTAAATATCACTTCTTCCCAATCGACTACAATTAATATTCTTCCAATTACAGTAAACAATATTTCCTATCAACCGATTACAATTAATATTCTTTCAACAATAGAAAATATTATTTCTTCCCAATCGACTGCAATTAATATTTCCCCAATTACAGTAAATATCATTTATTTCCAATCGACTACAATTAACATTTCTTCAATTACACTAAATATTTCTTGCCAATCAACTACAATTAATATTCTTTCAATTACAGTAAATATTGCCTCCCCAACCAACTACAATTAACATTTCTTCAATTACCCTAAATATTATTTCTTCTCAATCAACTACAATTATTATTCTTTCAATTACAGTAAATATTCTCTTCCCAACCGACTGCAATTAATATTTCTTCAATTACCCTAAATATCATCCCTTTCTAACCGATGACAATTTCATCCAATTGCGTCCAAAACAATCACAATTCTACTTCCAACCATACTCATCGTCGATACCCAACAACGATCCTTCATCCCCTCTTCATTCCATCGCTGCTACTAGATCATCTACCCGGCAGGTCTCCAAAGTCATCGAAAGTTGCGTAACAACCGCCCGAAACGAGTGACACGATAACAACGCGTATTAATCCCGCCGAATAACCGCCTCGATGACTAACGGCGAAACGACGACGCCTGTTTTTTCCCGTTTGCATACGTAACAGCAGGTCGCAGATGATGGCGGGGCCGGTACCCGCGATATTCCCGCTCGGAGTTTTATCGCGCGACGCGGATCTTCTTGTTTAGTCTCCGGCGACCGGTCCTATCGGTAGTCCAGCAGCTTTTGCTCGCCGGCTCGCAGACTGTACGGCGTGCGCGTTCCAATTAGGCAATCCGTATTTTGCCCAGCGATCGACGCGCGACCCGAATCCGCGACACCGATCTTCCGCGGAGACGCCATTGTCAACCGACAACGGGACACGATCCTTGACCCGGTTCACCGGACGAGGATATTTCACGGTCGGATTTCGAACTAGCGAAACCTATTGAAAACGAGCATTTAGTTTTTCGACTCGACCGAGTTAGATCGACGTCGCTTTGGCGAATGGTTCAGCCAGAGACTCGTTACCTCGAGGTAAGTGTTTTTTTGGAAACTTTTTCTTGGGATGTTGTTCGAATGCTTAACCGTTTGCACTTGACACGTGATTGTTGGAGATTTGATATTTAACGCTAGATTTACCGTCAATTTGACGGGTACTGAATTTTTCAAATATTGTTTAGTTACAGCTTTCGTCGATTTTGCTTCGTGCAATTTTAAACTACAATTTTCGATTTATATAGACGAACACGTGATTTTCTAGGAACAATAGAATGAAGTGCAGAACAAATATCTATAAATCTAGTGTTAATGTAATTTAAGTATTATGTAATTATTGAATATTGAATTTAGTATCGTTTAATATTTAATATAACAGTAAGCATTAAATTTGATATAGTTTAACATTTAATATCTAGCGAGACTAACAAAATCCTCCGTTGTGCAATTACGTTAGATTAGATTGCAACGTACACAGCTATTAATGATAGAGAAAGAATTGCGACTGTGGCGTAGCGCTCGAAAAGATATATGATTAAACTTTATTAATTAAAAGGTTAAGATTTATATAACACACTACATGAAATATTGAAATGGAACAGTTCCTTAATTTATATATAAATCATCGAATCGTGACAAACTTCATTTCCATCTTATTAGAAAATATTGAATATTCCTAGCGAAAAACTTTCGAGAGCAGGAGAACCCTTGTAACTCGCTGGTCCCGAGAAATGACGTAATGATGGTAAGAGTGACGTTTTTTAGAGAGCGCAGTGAGTTGAACGGTTCGTGAAAGGTTGGATGATATAGGTAACGTAAGAATGAGGTAGAAATCCCGTGTGATGTAATTGGTTTACAATGGGGGAGTGACGTAAATTGATTGTCGCGAGAATGGGACGGTTAATTGGTACGTAAATGGCCGAAAGAAATGTTACTCGCATACTCACCGCCGAATGCGCGTTGAATTTCGCGCAGGTTGTGTTTGTTTGCCGCGGAGGACGAGTCTCGTGACTAGCCAACGCAAACAGAGCCAAAGTTCTTCGCTCTCGCGGGACGCGAGCAAACATAATAGTGCTCGCAGAAGTCCTAGAAGTTAAATACGTTAACGGGACCGGCGATTTGATTCGCCGTGGACTTCGGACCCGCAATCGAACTCAGAAAGATTGGATTTTTCAACATTCCCCGATACTTCCTGGATCCTTTCCTTGATTTACACTTGGAAGGTGTTGGAACATATAGGCTAATGCATTTAGAAATGTGTAATAAAATTGAAATGTGACTCAATTTGTAGACTAATTGCGAGTCGATCGGTAGATAGGTTAAGTACAGAGTATAAAAATTGAGAAAATTAATGGTTTTTAGAATTGAATTATTATACGACGTATTCAGAAGCTGAAAGAATTACTTTTTCATCTAGAAATATGGCACGAGTAAATCCTTTAACCCTTTGCACTCCAGAAGTTGTTCATTAGAAATACTCAACACTTTCTAATGAAATACCAACGACATTCTTTCAAACTGACTTAACGAGAAATCGTATATAAATTAAAGAGAGAGGCTGTTTTATTTTAATATTTCACATGTCGATGCATTGTACAAAGTTTAGTATTAAATATCAAACTCTATAATTTTGCTGTGTTAAATCAATTGGCGACTGACAGGCGCTTACGGAGTGCAAAAGGTTAACACTATCGAGCAGTTACTTTGACTTTTTGAAAGTTCTGTATAGAAACTCTAAGAGTGTATCTGTTGAAGCTTTGATAGTTTCTTAGAGAGTTGTCCATCTTTTTAATAATTACAAAAAGAAGGAATCAGAGGTTGTAGTGTTAATAACTAAAAACAATATTATTCCACTAAAATTTACAGAAATCAGAAAGTATCAAAAAATCAACCTAATTGCATTTGCTTCCACGAGACTCATTTGTAACTCATTCAATACTGACTACACGTCATCCACATACAGGTGATACCATTATTCACACAAACCTAAACGTTCATTGTCTTAATAACGTACATAACGAATCGAATGTTGTCGGATACATAAGATACAAGAAAATCGAAGAATTTCGACTTTCTAGTTTCCCCTTTATTAACCAGTTAACTGCGTTTTTTCACATAAACATGTAATTCTTTGTTTCGCTTTGATCTTCTATTAAAATATACTCTACTCTATTTCAATAATATCAATATAATAATATAACAATATTTAATATACTCTATTAGTTCATAGTTCATTTATACTCAGAAGTTCTTTCAATTAAATTCAACAGTTAACTAGTTAAGAAAACAGTTTCAACCGCACGCGAGCTTCGTTAAAAACCACCGTGTAAAAGAAGTACGAACAAGTCTCAACTTCACAAGAATCACATACAAACTCTACCATGACTCACCGATCTCAAGGTGACACCGCCATTCCATCGACAGCCGAATAAACGAAAAAGTGCATATAAAGTGCAGCGAAACTTGTCATGAATTTTCATGTCGGGTTCCAAGCGAACACGATCGTCGGTCGTAATTAAATTCGTTCCTCGCTCGTGTTAGCTACAAAGTCGGATCAAATCACGCGTCGTCGGCGTGCACGGGGCAGGATGCAGGTGCGATGCACCCGACCGGAAGCGGCGGGGTTGGCGAAAACAGGGGAAAAAGGGACGGGAAACAGAAATGTCAGCGTGCGGATCGCTAACCGGCCGACTGGAGGGGCTATTGACGTCTGGTCCCTCGGTTTGCCCACATCCTCGCCGAGAAAACCGCGATAAGACAAGCCGAGGTATCAGCGGAACCGCTAATCACTGTCTGGACCAACGTCCATCGCGATTTCTTCGCAGGAAATTAGACGATTGCGTTGTCTCGCCGATTTTCCGCGAGTCCACGCGCTGACATCATGCTCCGGCTGCGCGAGGATGCCCGTTTGCGTTACGAGAGAAGATTCCCTTGCCACTTTCGTTTTGTCGCTGTGTTGTCTGGGTCTGTGGGTGCATGCACTACAACGGGGATCAATGAATCGTTACGTAATCATCATTTTATCGAACCCGCGCGAGCATCGTTGATCGGTTCACTACTGCTGGAATTGAGACGATGTTGTTTCGTTGATTAATATTGTGCTGTTTGACACTAGAACTACCGAGCATTTAATACGATTAATATGCAATTCCTATGAAAATTGTAACAATAGATTATTTTCAGTTTCTTCGGGCATTCATTATAGTACTCAAATGAAACTATTCATTTTCTGAATCATTTCGAATATTTAATGCTTCGAAGATATCAATAATTGCGAAACAGAAAAACTGAACAATAAATTATCTGCAGTTTCTTCAAATCTTCAATATAATATTCAAGCGAAGCTATTTGTTTTCAAGATCATTTCGAATATTCAATGCTTCGAAGATATCAATAGTTGCTAAACAAAAAAATCGAAACCAGTCATTTTGACGGGTACGGTAGTTCTAGTGTTAATAATGGAGTTAGTTAATATACTGTAATCGGTATACTATAATCGACTGTTTTCTTTCGGTCAATATCTAAGAGTCTACATATAATTTAGCTACCTCTACTGAACTTTCAGGACACTTTAACCAGTTAAATGTGTTTGACGAGTATACACGTCATCTTAGAACTTTTAATGATGCAAATTTTTTCAACGATGGATTATTTATTTTTCGAGACAAACATGTAATTCTTCTTCGTTTCGCTTTAGTTTTTCGTTAGGATATATTTTAAGTGCATTTGGCCTACGTTTAACAAGTGTACACTTCATTATTTGATTTCATTGCGTGCACAATGACAGATTTTTCAAAGTAAATTCCACACTTAACTGGTTAACACTATAAAATATTAATTTATAGTCAAGTTTTTATTAACTTTTATTTTTTTTATATTATTCCTTTATGTTTTCTCTGCTTTATAACGCATACCACCATCCGTGAACATGTGTCCCTTAAAAATATTTTCTTACAGAAATTGGCATGTACCATATATGGTACACGTGGCACTGAATGCGTTAAAAAGATAACAGATACTTCTCCGCGAAATTACTAAAGGAATTAGTTTACTAATATGCAAATTGAATCATGAGTCAATTGAGATCTCGATAGCTACGTTCTTAGTAGTTAAAAAATCGTAGTGTTAAAAAATCCTCGTTACAAACACTAAGAAGTTAGTACACATGTTTGTCTTCTTTATAGTATCTTTATCAAGTTTTTAACGCTAGATTTATAGAATCCATTATCCTTTCTTCCTATTACTTAAACAGTTATGTAAGTGTAATGTTTTGTATATTTCAAAGATCTTCCATAAGGGATTAAACTAAAGTCTTTGCGTTTACAGTTGTCTATTTTATATCTCTCTTGGCAGCGTTCATGGTTTCCAAGACTAAGCCTGAAAATTGAGAGACATCGAATAAACCCCTAATATTACAGCATTGTATCTAGTCATCCCAGATCCTTACAGTTTTAGACAGTAAATTTTGTAGAATCATCTAGGGATTAATTTGTTGTAATGGAGGCAATGGAACGATTCTTTTGACTACTGTTACCTTTTCGTGGAGCCTGTTTTATGGCACGGATGAAACATTGAGAAGCTTAGGGTCGTTAATCCGACACGTCATCTGCTGCGGACCGTCGCACAGTACAGCATATGGACAAAATCCCTACATTCACCACTGACATAACGAAAATTGAAGGCTACCAATGTGTGCTACGTAGTCCCTGCTATACAAAATGCTTTTCATTCGAAAAATAACAACTTTGTGCAGATCAATTCAGTTTCTCTATTTATATAACGTTGGCATTGGAACGCAAAGTATCCATTGTCATTGAAAAAACTTCGTAACATCCACATAATGTAACAACAAATATAACCACCATATGCTTAACTCTATACCTTACAACTTTTGTCTGAAGCATTTCTTTCTATAACTCGTATCGTTCAAGTTATTGAATTTTATCCGGCAAATGGTCGTTTGGCCACTTTGTCTCGTGCAGATTAAATCCGCAGTTTCCACTATTTCCAAGGTACCCGTGTCATAAACCACGTAATAT